GAAATGACCTCTCTCTGAGTAGAGCATGAATGGAGCACCACTATGGAAAAATATATCTCTCGCACGGGAGATTTTCTCCTTCTTTGAATATTCGCTTATTTGGACGAAGCTAATCATTTCTTTCTTAAAGTGATTTCTTAGGCGCACATAATCGAAATAGCTGGGCACATAGATCAGACAATGCGAGTGCCCAGACTTTGTGAATTGTGGCAAAATGTGTCGCACGAAATGCTGAAAGCGATCATCCAGAGCTGACTCAACACTTGAGCTTTCAATGCGCTGGAAAACTTGTTTGATTGGCGTCAGGACATTGCTTATGGATCCACTTTCGATCTGATTGATAATGCGCACTTTTCCTTGGTAATTATGGCATTTATTATTTATGACTCCGCGAAACTCAGGCAGATCGTGCGAGCAGAACAGTAAGGTTTGCCTATAAAAGCGGGACGTCGCATTGAGGCAATATGAACGCAGTCGTTGGCAATTAGTTTCGGGCAGCTTTTGAGGCTGCAGATGTAAATGGTCCAGCACTTGCAGCAGATTCTCCCAATTCTGGGCTAGGAGAAGCTCCGCTTGGTCAATAATTAGCAACTCCACAGAATTCAGAAAGTCAAAGTCTTGATCCTTGTCATTAATAACCATACGCAGTGCCAATGGAGAGGCAATTAAAATATCCGATCCACTAAACTCAGTGTACAAGGACATCGACTTTTTAGTCAGGCGAATTCCGATTTTAAAATTATCATCCGTATTGCCATTAAATGTTTGCTCATAATCAGCTGGTTTAGGATTGGTTTTTGGGAAGTAAACCGTATTTCCGGAATACTCTTGAAGAAAACGTTCGTACTTTGTAATCGGATAGCCAGTTTTTGGATCTAGAAAAAATATATATATTTAAGAGACTTTCAATTTAAGATTAAATTTAATATATTTGTAACCGAGATTCATTACATACCCTTACGATTTTCGAACAGCAGCTTTGCTATTATTTGCACAGTTTTCAAAGCAGAATCACGAAATGGCAATATAATCAGCGCTTTCAGTCGCGTTAGACCCTGATCCCTGACACTATCTGGCAAGGACATTTCGCTTGTCGGTTGCGTGGGATCTTTGAGAAGTTCATTGATTTTCTCATTGTTACGCAAGATTAATGCCCTACTCTTTAATATATGATTTATTGCATGCAGGCAATAGACATAACGAATTTCCTCCGCGTTATCAAGAGTTCGCTGAGGATAGTAGAGATCCAAGTATCTGTTGGCCATATGAAAGAGCTCCGTTTGTACAGTGGATAAGGGATAGGAAACATTCAATGCTAGTGACGGTTGTACTCTCAATAACTGAAGATCTGCTGCTTTTAAAATATCTGCAGGCTGTTTGTAATTGTCATCCGGGTCAACGGTAGATTTTAAGTTGGGTTTCTCGATTTTGAAATTTTTAATTGCAGACCATTTGCCTTTCACCTCGTTTGTGTCTTTTGCAATTATTGCAGAAATATCATCTGACTCTATCTCAAAATCAAATCGATTCTTAAAGACATTAATTTTCTTTATATCAGCAATATCTTGAGGGTTTTGATCCATTTCTACGTCATCTTCCGGAACTTTTGTTTCTTGTATAATACATTTCTCTTCACTTTTTAGTGTAGGAACTGAACGGAATGTGTTAGTTAGGTATGTGCTGTGCTAAATCTAAATAAAACTCTTCCATACCTGCTATTGTCGAGCTATATCCACTTACAAGCTGCTCATAAAATTGCGCTTCATCTTGCAATTCTGGTAAAAGATCGGCAGTCAATTTAGATCCATCATCAATTGTGCTCTGATATTGACTCTCAGTTCTATGCATTTGCTCCATTTGTCTGCTTCTTTGTATGAATTTGTGTTTATTCGGCGGCTTTTTGTCCTTTCGTAAGTCATTTCGTTTAGGCCTTGAGCCAAAATGTTTACGTTTCTCCTTCATTTTCATTTAACCTTAAGTTTCAAATTCAACTCGTAAACAACGTGGAGCACAACTTGTTGTTGGGTCGACTAATAGAGATGACAGTAAACACCCAACGATAGATAAGTATTTGACATATTGAAATCGATTATTCTCGACTTGCTACAAAAACTATCGATAGAACTGGGCAGATACTTCTATAACTACTAATATAAATTTATTTTAAAATTATTTATTTTGTCTTCTTCAGGCTCTTTTGTAATTGAACAAAATACGGATATATATTTTTTAGTTTATTTATAAAACCGATTAAAAAAGATTTACAAACATTTGTATATGTGGAAGGGTGTGGTAAAAAAATCAGTTAATAAATGGAATTATTTTTTTTTACAAATTCATTTTGTACATTTAAATTTAGGCAAACAATTTTTTGATGACATTTTCCAGTTTCACTGTATCTACAGCGAATTTGCGTATGCCCTCAGACAGTTTGTCAGTTGCCATGGCATCCTCATTGAGCAACCACCTGAATCGGCTCTCGTCAATGGTAATCTTTTGAATATCCTGTAGCTTCGCATTGGACACAGATAAAGCGGTCTCCAGTACGACATCATCATTCTCCAGTTCCTTTAGTAAGCTTGGGCTGATCGTAAGCAAATCGCAACCAGCTAATGCCTTAATTTCGCCAATATTTCTGAAGGATGCGCCCATCACCAATGTCTTGTAGTCATATTTCTTGTAGTAGTTGTAGATATTCGTCACTGAGATGACGCCAGGATCAGCTTTTGGCTCGAATTTCTTGGTCTCTGTGTTTGCCACATACCAATCTAAGATGCGGCCAACAAAGGGGGAGATTAGTGTCACACCAGCTTCGGCACAAGCCACAGCTTGGGCAAATGAGAATAACAGAGTGAGATTGCAATGCACTCCATGCTGTTTTTCCAGAATTTCTGCCGCTTTGATACCCTCCCACGTTGAGGCGAGTTTTATTAAAATGCGGTCCTTTTTAATTCCGAAGCTCGCGTATAAATCAATTAATTTCAATGCCTTCTCGACGCTTTTCTTCGTATCAAACGAAAGACGTGCATCTATTTCGGTGGAAACTCTGCCCGGAACAACTTTTAGAATTTCGCAGCCGAACAATACGCACAAATAATCCATAGCCTCTGATACCTTGTTCTCCAGCGGTCTGAAATGAAGTTAAATATAACATTATAAGTAATATATCTGTATCTATTTGTAATTATATATATGTGACTAACCCTTCTTTCTTCTTTCCATATTCGACAGCATTTTTAACTATGTATTGGTAGCGCTCCATAGTGGAGGCCGACAAAATGAGCGATGGATTAGTCGTGGCATCAGTAGGCTTGTATATATTTATGGCTAAAATAAAGAAATGCATTTTTAAAGCAAGTTGCAAGACAAATTTACAAACAATTTTATAAATGACAAATATTAAACACAATTTTCTACTTAAATAATTTTCAAATTAGAATGAGGTCAAACAGTTAATTAGAACTTGTTTTAAAACTTATAAAGACCTTTAAAAAGTGAATGCAATTTTTAACATTCAAATAAGCACATTAAACAAAATTAATAATTTATTACTCTACACACATTCACTGAAAGCTTTTCCTTTATATTTTTATTTTTTTTTTTTATGGGTATAGCTATTTACAATTTTATTTGTTTATAAACTATTTAAGGAGTAATAAGCTTTATACAAAATATTGTTATTATTATTAAAAA